TGTGTCTCCGTAAGTGTGTTCATGTCATTGTATGTTCGTGTGTCTGTGTAAGTGTGTCTGTGTCAGTGTGTCTGTGTAAGTGTGTCTGTGTAAGTATGTCCGTGTGTCTGTGTAAGTGTGTCTGTGTCAGTGTATGTCCGTGTCAGTGTATGTCCGTGTGTCTGTGTCTGTGTATGTCCGTGTGTCTGTGTAAGTGTGTCTGTGTATGTGTATGTCCATGTCAGTGTATGTCCGTGTATCTGTGTCAGTGTGTTTGTATCAGTGTGTTTGAGTAAGTGTGTCTGTGTAAGTGTGTCCGTGTGTCACAGAAAGTCACAGAATGTCACAAACACGGGAAGTATGATAGTCACTTTCCGTCACCACCGCAGACGTCATGAGTGTGTTTAAGTTGGGAGTGTGCATGCTGTAGGGAGAAGAAAACAAACAGAGGGAGAGCAAGACATGGGATATAGGAGCAAGCGAATGAGGGCAGGCTTGAGTTTCAAGGTACGCAAGCAATGATACATTCCTCTAACGAAAGCAACGTCGTACACTGTAGACTAAATGCTTGGGAAGATGCAGATTTTGGTTCGTCAATTCTGCTTCGGTGGTTCAACCGTGCGGCACATAAGACAACACACACAAACCGAGAATTAGTGAACAATATGTCACACACACTCACACAAACTCTACGACACACACAAACTCTCAATCATTGATGTGTTATGAACATGATTGTCTGCTGCAATTTCGCCAGCCCTCACTCACATAGACTCCCGTACACGCCCATACATGCAGAGAAGGATGGGGAGAGGAAGTAGAGTGCCACAACGTGGAGAAAAGAAAACGCAGTGGAAGACTCACAGAAGCAAAGTGACAGAATACACAGTACAGTGAATTCTCTCTACATATGCATTGAGCCTTCCCTGCTGCACTAACGATAGAGTGCACATGTCACCTTGCATTGTCACACATGTCGCAGTCTGACACTAAGCAGAATGACGTCACCACCATCAGACTGCAAAAAAGGAGTATATGTCATTGACCACAAAACTGAATCAATCATTATAACCAGTATCCAATAAGAGAGTCAAGAGTTCTTGGATTCAACGCTCAACAAAGTATCACGTCCCCTTCGTTACCAGAAGTTATCTGCCCGGTGCTGTCTGCGCTCATCATCAACAACACGAATTGCGAAGTCCAGGTAAGAAACAAGTCCTCTCCACATATTCTCTCTGTTGTGTATCTCACAATGGCAGAAGTCTTCACACCATGAGACGCAAGTGTGTTCAGAGCATGCATCGTCAACAACCAGAATGAGCACAATTCTTCAGTGTTATGAACTTGGTTGCCTGACGAATTTTATTGTCACTCACACACAGACAATCTCACACATGCCCATGCCAGTGCATGCATAAGAGAAGGGGAGAGAGGAGACAGAGTCCACACTGCACACAGGTGAAAATAAGCAACGGAAGAGAGACATGCACAGGTGGGGAGAAGACACGTTGTGTCTCTCACTCTCTGACACAACTCCCAATAACCAATCACAAGAAAGAACCTGCGAAGATCACAATTGGAAAGGTCACTGATGATAAGCCACTCATACAATTATCGTAACAGAGTTTGTTCCAGTATCTCACCACACTCAGAACGCACACCCCACTCTCTATCCTACACCAGTTAGTAGCACTGCATCAGAACAGCCTCCCAGAGGCAAGCGCCAACCACCCTGATGAAGAACAGGTCCTGGGATGAAGTCTTCAGTGCCGATGGACAACTCTGACGAAGGAACAGGCAGCTATGGCTGCCACCACCCACGAACGACCACTATAGAGCATCGGTCCAACCCGGCCATACGCAGATACCCCCAGGGGTAGATGCGCTGAGGATGCCTCAGCTATGGCAGACTCAGATGTGGCCGGCTATAGCTGCTGTCATGGTGCGTCTCCGGATGCCGCCTGCAGACCAACACCGCCACCAACTTGCTTGGCTTCTCCAACGCTGTGTGGCGAGAAATGAACTGCCAAAAGTCCTAAACCGGTGGGCCTATCCTATCTATAGACTCTCTACACCTAGACCGGACTGACTGACCAACCAGTACCGTTGCTGTTCAAGTTTTGGCCTCTCTGCCTCTACTGGACCCGGCTATAGGCTATAGGACCATCTAGCAGCATAGGCCACTTAGGGCCTGTCTGTCCTAGGGGTAGCCCAGGCCTGCTATAGGCAGTTAGGGTAGCTGTAGGAATTCGGTTAGTACCGGGCCTGTTTTTTCCCAGATTTACAGATCTGTCCCTCATGAATTTTCTTACAGGCAGGTGTCTCGGTTAGCCTTCAGCCAAATAAAATTACGAATCTAACCCTACGAGTTAGTGTACAGCCTCGCAGTCAATCAGCTCATGCAGCACACAGTTGCACAGCTCATACAGCACACAGTTGCACAGCTCACAGCACACACCACACACCACACAACAGCTCATGCAACACACAACACACATTAGGATAGTCAGACCTGCCACATGGCCCCATACTCGTGCAGCACACGTCGTGCGCTGGCGATAGTACACAGCACACAACACACTATAGTACACAGCATACAGCACACAGCACACTACAATACATCCTCTGTGCAGCGGCGCAGGCTGCAGAAAACAGCAAGTCAATGCAAGTGCATACAGTCAACACCGCATCTACACACATACACATTATATTTGTGTGTGTGCGAACTGGTCTCAGTGCAGTCTTCACTGTATTCTTATTTCATGCTTTTCTTTGCTGCATTGCCTTTGCGCGACGCTCCTTTCCTCTTCGACGACCCCGCTGGAGTGTCACCGCCTTTGCGTGTTGCTGCTGTCTTCTCAGACACCCCCTTCCCCGCCTGCGTTTGTCTCTCAACTTGCCTTGTAGCATTCATCTACTGTAGCTTTTCCACTCACTTCTGCTCGTCGATAATGCCTTCATATTTTTATTCCCAGCGAGCCTTGGCCAAGTTGTCAACCAGCCTCAGGTCCTTCAGCTGGATCGTCACCCTCTTGCAGTGAATAGCAATGATGTTTGTTCTCTCGAAATGGTTGATGAGATATGCTTCCGCCACTTCCAGCAACGCACGTATGGCGTTCATCTGAAACCTGATAGATTGCCCTGGTGCGATTTCTTTCTCGACGACCTCGCGCACGACCCTCATGAACAGCCTCAAAGCAATGCACAAGTGAGTAGATCGTTGGAGTTGCCGAATTTCTACCAATGTTGCCATCCTTGCGCGGCGCCAGCGCTTTGGAACTGGGGCAGCGGCTGCTTTTGCTTTTGTGGAATTTCGGAGTCCACGAGGCGGCCTAGATGTGCACTGCTTCTTCTTATTCTCTGCCCTCCCTGTCACGTGCTCCGCAGGGGTGACACCATCGTCGGCTTCTGCATTAGAACATCCCCCATCATTTGCTGTTTCCGGGCCGTCGACCTGAGTWGRCAAATGTGAAATGTCCYGCTGCTGCTGTGTTGTTGGYTGTGCATTCGATGCARCACGAGCGTCGTCATCACCCACGTATTGAATGTGTCGCAGCAGTCCATCTATGTACGTGAGCTGGAAAGGGATACCCAGAGGGTCTCTGAATCTCATGCACATCTGTTCMCCATGCTCATATGTCATGGGATAGACGACAGGAACCCACCCAAGAAGTGATGTGCACCCGTGTCTGCGTCGAATGCCCTCCAGAAACATGTCATCCGTCGAGGGCCGTGCTTGCTCGGTGCACAAGTCTTCCACAATCGAGCACATCGCCTGGTCATTATGGGAGTCATATCCCATGCACACCATCTGCCGTTCTTCCTCTTTTATCTTCTCCCAGCAACGCTCCGCGTGTTCCTCCAACAATCCTCGGTCCTTCACATGAGGATTGCAAACGGAGACACGTGTCACCACCACCAAGAACTGCAAATGCTCCACAACGCCAGCATGCATCCAACCCAAAGGCAGCCACTCACCAGATTGCAATCTTGCTGCCAGTGTCATTTTGCCATCAACAATTGCTGGATGCAAAGAACCAGGTACCCAATTGACATGGTACCCGTACATGTCACGGGCCACATGCTGGTACAACTGCCCTTCTTGAATCACATGGGCCGCAATGTTACTGGTTGCAACCACATCCTTCCCCATTGCCACATGGTCTCATACGTCCATACAGACGTCATCAAATGTGGCTTTTCCCCCCCTTACGTGGACGTATGTGATGCACTTCTCACCACAAAACACCATCCCTTCAGCGAGGGCCAACTCGACAGGATTGCCAAGTGGCGGGTCGAAGATGCGTGCATCACATGGCCGGCATGTCATCGCCCCCTTTTCGTCTGCAGTCGCTTCTCTGTCAAAATGACGGAAGGAAAACATGCCATTCACGTAATGCGCTCTCCAAACATTGCCCATGATATCACGCACTTGCAACTTAACACGGCCATATCCAAATGGGATTGCAGATGGCACCCAACCTCATCTAGGATCCCTTCTTGCATCGTCCTGGCTGACTGGCGTCCTCCCCTTGCGTTGCTGGCCACCCAACACCCACAGCTGTCCGCAGTCAAAGTTGTCATATACGAAATCGTTGAGCCCCAACTCACCCTTTGCTTGTAGAGCACGATACATCTTCAATGCGTATTGGCAAGTATCGTGGGTCGTTGCCCCATCATTCAACCTCAACACTCTGTCATAGATAAATGACAGACATACGTTATGCCATGTTCCTTTCTTTGGGGCAGGAACAACAACCCACTGGTCAGCAACCTTGAAAGCAAAGAAATGCACACCTCCAACGATATCTGGCTGAACACGACCTGACACCCAATTCACATCGTACGGGTATCTATCTCCTGCCATTGTCTTTBTCACATTTGCATCTGTGACAATGCATCCATTGTGAGGACCCTCGCTGCCAACATCTTCCTCGTTTCTCTCTCCACCCACCTTCTCCATCTCAGCGCTGTTCCCTCGTGCACCGCTATCGTTGTCATCCACGTCAGCAAGCATCTGCT